TTCATGTAAAATAAGGAATTTTTTAACTTATATTGTGGTGTCGTGAAAGTACTGTATGAGGGTATGGCAAAGTGCGTACGTGGCCAAGTGAAACATGGAAGTGTGTACAATTATGTGTGGTCATTGTCGAAGACTGGAAATATGGCCTTGCAAAGCAGTGTGTAAGTGTGTGTGGCCATGTGGAAGAGTGTGTGTGGCCATATTGAATATTGTGTGTGGCCATGTTGAAGAGCGTGTGGCCACGTGAAGAGTGTGAAAGTGTGTGAAGCTATTGGGCCATCCCCCCCCCCGCCATCTGTTGACCTTTCGCCCCCTTGGTAAACCTGTGACCCCCTGGATAGTCCGGCGGAGGAATGTAACTTAGTCTAGTCATATGAGTAACATGGACGATTTGGTACATAGACTGTAAACAGCTCTTGGATTGTGGCTAAGTAGAAAAGAGCATTGCCAAGAAGGTCATCATAAAATACGATATACAAAACATAAAACCAGTTACAGTAAAATATAAATCCAGCCATAGAATTTAATGCAAGACTTCTCGTGAAATGTAAAGCAAAAATCCCTTTTCTCTTTAATCTTTTATATCAGAAATCAATAGCATTCAGTATTTCCAGACTGCAAGCTAACCGCAAAAACCACCGACCCAGAGTCGAGAGGCGGTACTGTATGGTGACGAGAACCACGTCCTTCGTCAGGAGAGGGAGAGGGCCATAAAAGCCAGCGTTTCCGATGGTGAATCCTCCGCCGTGGATCCACACCATCACCGGCAGATCCGACTCATACGGCTGGAATCGAGACCAATTATTAATTTCCTTAATTCCTTTAAGGACAGAAATACATGACACACAGACAAAGAAGTACACACACACACACACACACACACACACACACACACACACACACACACACACACACACACACACACACACACACACACATATATACACACAGACACACACACACACACACACACACACACACACACATACACACACACACACACACACACACACACACACACACACACACACACACACACACACACACACACACACACACACACACACACACACGCACGCACGCTGGGTTCGTCTAACATCCACCTAATCCTGACGAAGGAAGGGGAACCGTGTGTACCGACTTACCCGCGGAGTGTAGACGCTGAGGAAGAGGCAGTCCTCCTGTCCTAAGGGCTTGGAGTCGAGGAGGGGGTGCTGCTGGGGGCACATGGGCGTGGGCAGCGAGCCGTTCCTCACTCCCGACCAAGGCGCAGCTGGCACCGGGTTCTGCGGGGCGAAGGCACGTGGCGGTCAGTGTCCGAGGCGAGGGCTGGGCCCCCCCGCCCGGAGGCACAGACAGGAGCAACGCCGTCATCGTTATCGCTAGCACACGCACACGCTCAGTGACAATGGTGATTGTAAAAGGAATAATAATAATAATAAAAGATAAAATAAATGATAATGATAATAATAATAATAATAATAATAATAATAATAATAATAATAATAATAACAATAATAATAATCATAATAATGAGAATAATAATAACAACAAAAATAAAAAATATATAACACTACTACAAATAATAACAAAATACTAGTAATAACAATACTGATCATGGCCATAATAACAGCAGCGACACAGCCGCCGGCACGAAGCACAAGGGGCGCGCACCTTGAAGCGCAGGTCCCCGACAGGAGGCTCGGCGAAGGGAATGGTCTGGAAGCTGTAGAGAAACCTCCCTTCTCCGGCCTCCGACCTCGCGCCCTCGATCACACCCTGCTGAAGCTGCACCTGCACCGTCTCCTCCTGCGCCGCCGCCACAGCCAGGCACACAGCTAGCAAGGTCGACCGCATCGTCTCGAACAT